TCAAACATTCTTCATTTTGGTCTAGGATTTCTTTCATCTTCATTTCAATTACTTTCTTTCCACTAGTAGTATTAGTAGTAGTAATATACTCTGCCATTTTGATTAGATGAATCATTGTCAAGCATTCTTCATTTTGGTCTAGGATTTCTTTCATCTTCATTTCAATTACTTTCTTTCAACTTGTAGTATTAGTAGTAGTAATATTCTCTGCCATTTTGATTAGATGAAGCATTGTCAAGCATTCTTCATTTTGGTCTAGGATTTCTTTCATCTTCATTTCAATTACTTTCTTTCCACTAGTAGTATTAGTAGTAGTAATATTCTCTGCCATTTTGATTAGATGAAGCATTGTCAAACATTCTTCATTTTGGTCTAGGATTTCTTTCATCTTCATTTCAATTACTTTCTTTCCACTAGTAGTATTAGTAGTAGTAATATTCTCTGCCATTTTGATTAGATGAAGCATTGTCAAACATTCTTCATTTTGGTCTAGGATTTCTTTCATCTTCATTTCAATTACTTTTCTTTCCACTAGTAGTATTAGTAGTAGTAATATTCTCTGCCATTTTGATTAGATGAAGCATTGTCAAACATTCTTCATTTTGGTCTAGGATTTCTTTCATCTTCATTTCAATTACTTTCTTTCCACTAGTAGTATTAGTAGTAGTAATGAATCATTGTCAAGCATTCTTCATTTTTGGTCTAGGATTTCTTTCATCTTCATTTTGATTAGATGAAGCATTACTCTGCATTTTTCATTTTGGTCTAGGATTTCTTTCATCTTCATTTGAATTACTTTCTTTCCACTAGTAGTATTAGTAGTAGTAATATTCTCTGCCATTTTGATTAGATGAAGCATTGTCAAACATTCTTCATTTTGGTCTAGGATTTCTTTCATCTTCATTTCAATTACTTTCTTTCCACTAGTAGTATTAGTAGTAGTAATATTCTCTGCCGTTTTCATTAGATGAAGCATTGTCAAACATTCTTCATTTTGGTCTAGGATTTCTTTCATCTTCATTTGAATTACTTTCTTTCCACTAGTAGTATTAGTAGTAGTAATATTCTCTGCCATTTTGATTAGATGAAGCATTGTCAAGCATTCTTCATTTTGGTCTAGGATTTCTTTCATCTTCATTTCAATTACTTTCTTTCCACTAGTAGTATTAGTAGTAGTAATATTCTCTGCCATTTTGATTAGATGAATCATTGTCAAGCATTCTTCATTTTGGTCTAGGATTTCTTTCATCTTCATTTCAATTACTTTCTTTCCACTAGTAGTATTAGTAGTAGTAATATTCTCTGCCATTTTGATTAGATTAATGAATTCTTCATTTTGGTCTGGGATTTCTTTCATCTTCATTTCAATCATTTTGGTCTAGGATTTTTCATTTTTAGATTTTGTCAATTCTTCATTTGGTCTTTTCTTTCATCTTCATTTCAGTATTTCTTTCCAGTAGTATTAGTAATATTACTCTGCCATTTTGATTAGATGAATCATTGTCAAGCATTCTTCATTTGGTCTAGGATTTCTTTCATCTTCATTTCAATTACTTTCTTTCCACTAGTAGTATTAGTAGTAGTAATATTCTCTGCCATTTTGATTAGATGAATCATTGTCAAGCATTCTTCATTTTGGTCTAGGATTTCTTTCATCTTCATTTCAATTACTTTCTTTCCACTAGTAGTATTAGTAGTAGTAATATTCTCTGCCATTTTGATTAGATGAATCATTGTCAAGCATTCTTCATTTTTTTTTTGGTCTAGGATTTCTTTCATCTTCATTTCAATTACTTTCTTTCCACTAGTAGTATTAGTAGTAGTAATATACTCTGCCATTTTGATTAGATGAATCATTGTCAAGCATTCTTCATTTTGGTCTAGGATTTCTTTCATCTTCATTTCAATTACTTTCTTTCCACTAGTAGTATTAGTAGTAGTAATATACTCTGCCATTTTGATTAGATGAATCATTGTCAAGCATTCTTCATTTTGGTCTAGGATTTCTTTCATCTTCATTTCAATTTACTTTCTTTCCACTAGTAGTATTAGTAGTAGTAATATACTCTGCCATTTGATTAGATGAATCATTGTCAAGCATTCTTCATTTTGGTCTAGGATTTCTTTTCATCTTCATTTCAATTACTTTCTTTCCACTAGTAGTATTAGTAGTAGTAATATTCTCTGCCATTTTGATTAGATGAATCATTGTCAAGCATTCTTCATTTTGGTCTAGGATTTCTTTCATCTTCATTTCAATTACTTTCTTTCCACTAGTAGTATTAGTAGTAGTAATATTCTCTGCCATTTTGATTAGATGAATCATTGTCAAGCATTCTTCATTTTGGTCTAGGATTTCTTTCATCTTCATTTCAATTACTTTCTTTCCACTAGTAGTATTAGTAGTAGTAATATACTCTCTGCCATTTTGATTAGATGAAGCATTGTCAAACATTCTTCATTTTGGTCTAGGATTTCTTTCATCTTCATTTCAATTACTTTCTTTCCACTAGTAGTATTAGTAGTAGTAATATACTCTGCCATTTTTAGATTAGATGAATTTCTTTCATCTTCATTTTTACTTTCTTTCCACTAGTAGTAAAATATTCTTCATTTTGGTTAGATGGATTTCAAGCATTCTTCATTTTTGGTCTAGGATTTCTTTCATCTTCATCCATTACTTTTCTTTCCACTAGTAGTATTAGTAGTAATATTCTCTGCCATTTTTGATTAGATGAAGCATTGTCAAGCATTCTTCATTTTGGTCTAGGATTTCTTTCATCTTCATTTCAATTACTTTCTTTCCACTAGTAGTATTAGTAGTAGTAATATACTCTGCCATTTTGATTAGATGAAGCATTGTCAAGCATTCTTCATTTTGGTCTAGGATTTCTTTCATCTTCATTTCAATTACTTTCTTTCCATTAGTAGTATTAGTAGTAGTAATATACTCTGCCATTTTGATTAGATGAATCATTGTCAAGCATTCTTCATTTTGGTCTAGGATTTCTTTCATCTTCATTTCAATTACTTTCTTTCCACTAGTAGTATTAGTAGTAGTAATATACTCTGCCATTTTGATTAGATGAATCATTGTCAAGCATTCTTCATTTTGGTCTAGGATTTCTTTCATCTTCATTTCAATTACTTTCTTTCCACTAGTAGTATTAGTAGTAGTAATATACTCTGCCATTTTGATTAGATGAAGCATTGTCAAGCATTCTTCATTTTGGTCTAGGATTTCTTTCATCTTCATTTCAATTACTTTCTTTCCACTAGTAGTATTAGTAGTAGTAATATTCTCTGCCATTTTGATTAGATGAAGCATTGTCAAGCATTCTTCATTTTGGTCTAGGATTTCTTTCATCTTCATTTCAATTACTTTCTTTCCACTAGTAGTATTAGTAGTAAATATACTCTGCCATTTTGATTAGATGAATCATTGTCAAGGTCATTTCTTTTCATTTCATTTCAATTACTTTTCTTTCCACTAGTAGTATTTGTAGTAGTAATATACTCTGCCATTTTGATTAGATAAAGCTTTCATTCTTCATTTTGGTCAATTTCTTTCATCTTCATTTCAATTACTTTTCCAGTAGTATTAGTAGTAGTAATATTCTCTGCCATTTTTGATTAGATGAAGCATTGTCAAACATTCTTCATTTTGGTCTAGGATTTCTTTCATCTTCATTTCAATTGCTTTCTTTCCACTAGTAGTATTAGTAGTAGTAATATTCTCTGCCATTTTGATTAGATGAAGCATTGTCAAGCATTCTTCATTTTGGTCTAGGATTTCTTTCATCTTCATTTCAATTACTTTCTTTCCACTAGTAGTATTAGTAGTAGTAATATTCTCTGCCATTTTGATTAGATGAAGCATTGTCAAGCATTCTTCATTTTGGTCTAGGATTTCTTTCATCTTCATTTCAATTACTTTCTTTCCACTAGTAGTATTAGTAGTAGTAATATTCTCTGCCATTTTGATTAGATGAATCATTGTCAAGCATTCTTCATTTTGGTCTAGGATTTCTTTCATCTTCATTTCAATTGCTTTCTTTCCACTAGTAGTATTAGTAGTAGTAATATTCTCTGCCATTTTGATTAGATGAATCATTGTCAAGCATTCTTCATTTTGGTCTAGGATTTCTTTCATCTTCATTTCAATTACTTTCTTTCCACTAGTAGTATTAGTAGTAGTAATATACTCTGCCATTTTGATTAGATGAAGCATTGTCAAGCATTCTTCATTTTGGTCTAGGATTTCTTTCATCTTCATTTCAATTACTTTCTTTCCACTAGTAGTATTAGTAGTAGTAATATTCTCTGCCATTTTGATTAGATGAATCATTGTCAAGCATTCTTCATTTTGGTCTAGGATTTCTTTCATCTTCATTTCAATTACTTTCTTTCCACTAGTAGTATTAGTAGTAGTAATATTCACTGCCATTTTGATTAGATGAATCATTGTCAAGCATTCTTCATTTTGGTCTAGGATTTCTTTCATCTTCATTTCAATTACTTTCTTTCCACTAGTAGTATTAGTAGTAGTAATATTCTCTGCCATTTTGATTAGATGAATCATTGTCAAGCATTCTTCATTTTGGTCTAGGATTTCTTTCATCTTCATTTCAATTACTTTCTTTCCACTAGTAGTATTAGTAGTAGTAATATTCACTGCCATTTTGATTAGATGCCTTGAGCTGTGGGAATTTCTTAGATGAAACATTGTCATTATTATTTAAGTAGTCTTTCTTTAGTCATATTTCTCTTATTTTTTTTATCACAATGTTTTTACATTCATTTTTAATATTCTTAAGCAAGCATCCCTGTATGGAAATACTGAATAAATTATTTCGTACACAGGATTCTCACATCACCCATCCGAGCGGCTCACCCAACTCTAGAGAGAATATAAATGACCCCTTATTTTTGAATGTAATTCGCTTATTGAAGACAAAGACATAAAAACGAATGGTGGGTGCATAAAAGAATTGACTTACCAATTCCAAAATCTGAATCATCCATTGTTTTGTTGAAATTATCTCTGATTTCAGACATTAAATTCGTAAAACAGAAAAAAGAATCTGCTTCCGCACATCCTGGCAATTCAAGAAATAAAAAAAATAAAACAGATTAATATGAAACACAAGAAACTGGCAATGAATTTGTTTTTGGTCAGGTCATGCTGGAATTACCAATTCTGAAGACAAACCACCCACATCTCAACAAAAGAAAAATAGTTCTATCAGAAAATATTTCTTGTAAGTCTTAATGTGCAAAGTTAAGGTAGTTGGTTGAGATGAATAACTACTACTTATAAATAGGGGAAGTTCATATGGAAAGCTGCGGAAATCCTGTTGCCTAGTGTTTCTACAGCGTTCTAACTATATTTTTATATTAATCAAAACTTGTTTTAAACCTTGAAAATTTTAGTTTTCCTATTTGAATTTTCTGATGAATCTAAATTATAAAATTAATGAATAATCTCATGGTGAGTTCTATGACAATAAAATAACCATAGAAATTCCCCTATCACATTGTTAAATATTTGAGCTTAACAACCTTAACAAAACCAGAAAGACCCATAATAATTTCAGGGTTTTCCTATTTCAAATTTGTGATGTATCTTAATTCTTCAGTTAATAACTGAATAATCTCTGTAGAAATTCCCCTATCATATCGTTAAATATTTATAACTTAATAACTTTAACAAAATGTCACAATAACAAATAATAAATATGAATGCTGGCCGCTATTTTAAGAAAAAACAAATGAAATGATTTGAAATTGGCAACATTTTCCATTTCACTGAAACAGCCATTAAACACTTCTATCCATTCTTTCATTTTCTCACTGAAACCAAGTAGTGCCTTCCCTCCATTCATTCCTCGCAATTAAAATAGAATAGTCCATTATTTATGAGCTATTGGCAGGACGTAATGGTCGTGTTAACTAGCATAGTAAAAGAGTTTTAGATGCAAAGTTGACATATCTGGTCAGCTGTTGTAGACTATCAGCACTTTTTACCTAGACTAGTATTTCAATATATTTTTTAAATCATTTAAACCCCAATCAAGGACATAATCTACTAAGATGCAAGGGGTTACTAGGAGGGAAAGAGAATGAGAAGATTTTAGTGAGGAGAAAAGACAATAACAGAACAGGAGCACCAGACCAGATATGATAGGAATATTCAATGCATAGTCATATGTTAGATTTATAAATGCACAAGATAGATTCTGATGAGAAAAATTGTCTGGTACGATACAGCAAACCAACTTTCCTAGCAGGAGACCTCGCAATTGCGTCAATAAAATCACTCCACTTCAGGTCAGTAGAAAACATGAGCCCAAGAAGGCACAATGAGTTGCTCTCCAGGTGGTTAGCATCAGCCATTCTGATGGAGGTTCAGAGAAGGTGATTAAATGATAGCATAGATTTTGTTTTGGGAAGCATTAAAATTTTTCCTGAAAATAAATTCATGTATTACAAAGATGGGATATATGCTCCAGAGCAATGGATGTTTAATCTTACAGACCACTGAGAGAGTGTAAAAGAGTTCAATTATCACAAAGTGACCCAAGCTGGTGTCCTTGGACCAGACAAACATGAACTGAGTAAACATTTATATCTCTATGCAAAAACTATAACATTGCTATGAAAATATTTATAGAATAGACAAATGGAAGCTACTTCTGAGTGGCAAGAAAAAGTTGAGATGCCAGCTCAAGGCAGATTACATTGCAGATATTGTCTACAATCTGGAGACCAGTAGAGCCAGATATGGTAGCAATATTCAATACATGGATGAATGGTAGATTTATAAATATGCACTATGGATACTAAAAGGAAAAAATGTTTGAAACGACACAATGAACCAACATTTTGACATGTAAGTAAATGGAGGTGGTTTTTATGTGTTAACAAATTTTTTTTTTTTCTTGAGAAGAAATGGTATTCATTAAAGAAAGAAGATTTTTGTATATTTCTTATAATTTAATCATTTATGAAGCATAACTGAGTGTGGAACAAGGGCAATAATTTTTTTATTTTCTTACCAAAAAAATGGCTGATGTTGAGAGAATGACCTGAATGTTGAAACACATACACACACAGTATTTACAGCTATCAACAATCTCACAGTAATACCTATACTTAAATATGTTAAGGGATGTACATAGATGTCTCCAAACAATATATATATATATATATATATATATATTTTTAGACATTTTTATGTTTATACATTCTTTTTATGGATACAAATATTTAAGTAAATGCTCTGTTTATAATAAACAGTATGAAATAACATTTACCGGCCTGAATGTCTGAGAAATTTTCACAGAAAATATTCGTCTTCCGACAGGATTTGAACCTGTATCCTATATGGAACTGTCATTTAGCTTGATGTGCCTTTACCGATTTCGCCACGAAGGAGCATTCGGTTAGCAAGGTCATAATGTGTGATGTCATTTGTTTACATTTGATATGCCATGAGCAGATATGAATGTACGCGAGAGATTCATGGAAGATTGAAATTTAAATACAGTAAATTTGACCTGAATTAAAGACAGTAAATCCATTATTAACAAGTTTTTGTTTAATGTTATGTAATTCTTTATAGAAAATGGTTTTGGAAGAAGATATCATTTGTGCCATCTATGTATCTTAAATATATAGGGGGTTTATTAGTGTCATTAAATGTTTTATTTTCTAAAAGTGCCATATAATTAGAAAAAAGGGGGCTTAAAGGAGATCCCATTGCAATACTGTCTATTTGAGTATAAATATTACCTTGGGGGTCATAAAAAGGTACTTGAGTGGTACATTAATGATAATTTTTTTAAAATAGTGGTTTTTATATTGATAGGTTGTGGGGGAGGAAGGATGATTGTATACATGACAGATAATGATGTCAATCATTTCATGGACGCGTAAGTATGTACAAAGATGCTATTATTTAGTTGTTTATATATAAAGTACAGTGTGTGTTGAAACAACTCCTCCGCTCCCACTGGTCCAATTTCAATGATTCATAGCTCATTCAAAAGCCCTCGAAAAGTTAGGCGCAGGAAATGATTTTCATTGAACTCAGATTCAGGGTTGCCAGATTATGCAAGATAAAATTATATATTAATATATTAATCTAGACATTATCGTTGCTTTCATGGTTCAAGGGGAGTAACTCTCATTTCATTTTTGTATCCAAAATTGGAGTGCACATTTCATTATAAACTAGCTTAAAAGCTTCCCTATCAGGTGGAATTTAAGCTAGCTCCTGTGGAGAACTCTTGGTTTGGCCATCATCACAATAGCTAGGGAGGAGTAGATGCGATAGGCATTAATAAACTACAGAAGAACTCAAAATTGTTTGCCGCATTTAAGTATTGAATTAATGTTTAAGTTTACCTTTTAAAAGTTCAACAATAATTCTTCTGCTGCCACTTAATTTAAAGACAATTTGATGTCCATACAAACAATTATTTTTATTTCATGGGTGACAGAACATGGGACAATGTAGAAGATAAAATTAATATAGTGTAAAGATGGGAAAATAGAAATTAGAATTAGTTAGACATTCAACATTTGTAGAGTTAGAGAAACATTACAGCTAATTAAATAAAACCTATATCATGGAATCTCTGTCCTTTGACAGAGCTGCCCCTGAGCACCCTCTGCCCAAAGACAGAGATGCAACCGAGAGATGATAAATAAACATGTTACTGACTAATTTTGTAATTTGGTTTTACTCACCCCCACCCCACGAGGTCAGGTTGTGACACAAGGTTGGTTTAATGTGGGGAGCCCGAGTGCGTACACCCAGGCTAGGAACAAAAATTGCAGAAGCATCAGTTGTGCTGGCCTCAGTGCAAGCACTGATCCCTCTCTCTGATGCAATGAGAAGGTGCAGCTTCAGCCAGCAATTCCCCAGGGATGGGCACCTCTCAGTATAATTTTCCTCAGTTGTGACTGTTGTTTGGCAGAGCCACACATGAGCACACTCTGCACAAGCAACGCTCAGGCAATTTTTGTTACTCACCTGGGTGTATGCACTTGGGCTCCCCCCATTCAAGTTCATGAATTAATTTCTTGGTGACTGTAGAAAATTGATTATGGAAAAAAAAACAAACCTGAATTTTGAATATGAAATCTAGAATACTGTATACTGCAGTAAAACAAACAGTTAAAAATGTTTTGAACATACAAAAATTCATATACACACATTTACAGACAATTTAACCCCTGAAGATGATCTCAGATGAGATTGAAAGTACTTGGGAAAATAAAAATTATTTGAAAGAATATTTTGGTATTTTTCTTATGGTCATCATCAGGAGATAAAAATATCACATCTTGTTAGTAGCATGGAACTACAGGAGTGAATGACTGTTTCTGAAGAAAATGAACTTTATCTATAGTTTTCATTTGTTTTTATCATTAATTATGGTCAGTCGTTGTGTTGGTCAAACGGCCTCTTTTAAGTTGTTTTTAAGATAGAGGATGGCAGATTCCTTACTAAGATTTCCCTCCTTGGTCATTTTGACAATTTTATTGGTTGCTGGAAATGAGATATGTGTGTTAAGTGTATGTTATCTTTTAGTTCTTTGAGTATGTGTGTGAAGTGTGAGAGCTCAACACCTCTGCAAGCATGTCTGTGGATGAGAAATGTGGGTAGGGCTTGATTTATGGGGTTATATATTAATTCTATCTATGTTGTTAAATTTGTGTTAAGCCCGGCTGGCTGAAGTGTTTTGAGGCACAAAATCCATTTGTCTTCATGTTTCTCGAGTATTTTTCTAAGGTCATCTTTTCTGTCTATTTCTATTTTTTCATGTGTGTGTGTGTGTGTGTGTATATATATATATTTATATATATATATATATATATATAAACCGGGTGTAACAGAATAATTGTCCATCCCACAAAATGTTTAATATTTAAAACAAAAACCGTAAACTAATTGAGTTTCTTTTTTCCAGGTTTCCAGCATTTAGCCATCTTGATACCATTTGTCATAAGAATCACACACAGAAAAACCCTTTGAGTTATTTAGCTAAAAAGAGAACAGGTTAAAATCATTTCATGTCAGCCCTACTGTCTTCTCAACTGAGCAATGGTGAGAGGAAAAAGATCATTCAGGCCTTCAATAATCATACCAACATTCATACTCTGGCTTCTATCTTCAAAGACTATTCAAGAACCATCAAGAGAATGGTGAATAAGTTTA